CTATATAACACACAAAGAAGCTCTGCCAGCATAGTGGTTACAAGTCAGGCTGCTAACCTCAAGGTCAGCAGTTCGAAACTACCAGTCGTTCAGCGGGAAAAAGATAAAGCTTTCTGTTCCCATAAAGATTTACAGCCTCAGAAACCCTATACAGGGTCCCTATGGGTCGGAACCAACTCCACAGCACACTACCACCACCACCACCACCAAATAACAAACAACTCTGCAACAATAAGAACAACCAGTAAAATACGTGTGGTTACTTAGGCAGATGTATCAAGTCAAAAAGCACAATACAAAGAAAACTGTATGAAACAAAATCATAATGTGATTCCATTTTTCTCCACATATTCTCCATCTAGGTATAAACAGTTCTTAAGGAGGTGGTGTTTCCATTTCTATAACCGTTCTCTGAAGAATTCTACACTGTTCCATTTACAACACATCAAAATGGCAGTTTGGGCAGATTCAAGGGATTAAAATTGTGTTCTATTTCAATGTTGTTTGAATTTTGGGAACAAACAAAAATCTAAAGGGACAAGGCTCATGGCTGTAGGGTGGACTGGGATAAGGTGTACCAACTAAATTCTTGTAAGACAGCTCTTGCTACCCTCAGAGAATAAGCAGGTGCACTGTCATGATGGGAAAAATTCCTTGGAGCAACTTTCCTGGGCGTTTTTTCACCAGTGCAGTTTTCTATTTTATTAAAACTTCTTCCTACTAAGTCCTGGATTCTCCTGTGTCCTTCCATAAAATCTATCAAGATGATCCTTTGGAATCCCAAAAATATATACCATAACTTTCTGTGCTGATCTCGCTTGAATTTAACTGGCCCAAAATATTCCCTCAGAAGCCACTGTTTCAACTGGACCTGTGTTTCAACGGCACCCTAACATGACAAAGACAAGTGTATTAACGAGATAACTTGATTGCAGCCATCCACTGATCAGAGACATGTTTTAACACATTTTGTTTATAATTGTTGTTGTTGTTGTTAAGTGCCGTCGAGTCGGGTCCGACCCATAGCGACCCTGTACAGGGTTTCCTGTGTATATATGATGTGGAGCCCTACCAGCAATACTTTTTTATTTAATCTTGTATATGCATATATTTGCATAGGTAGGCACAGCTGAGTGTATAAATATGCATGTACAAGTGTATCTGCAGGGATGTTTATACATACATATATGTGCCCCCTTAAACGATACAGGGGGCACAAGTATGGATACTGTCAAAACATAACCAAACACCTCATGGGATATATATATAAGACAATATAAGACCAAATGGCCAACATTTACTCTAAAACAAAGACAAGCTAAATTGGTACAGGAAAGCTAGATTAATGGATTTAAGAAAGGATGGAAGTAATGAAAATGTTGACAAATTGTGAAAAAATATAATCCATGTCATATAACAAGTTGTATTTTAAAAATTGTTAAGTGACCACCTTAATTGCTATGCAAATTTTCACCTAAAACACAGTAACATGTTGTTGTTATGTGCCTTTAATCAGCTCCAACTCACAGCAACCCTGTATAGGGTTTCTAAGGAGCTGCTGGCGAGTTTGAACCACCGACCTTGTGGTTCAAACTGACCTTCTGGTTGAGTGCTTATCCTACAGTGCCACGCCAGGACTTCCAGTAAAATATTAAGGAGAAAAAAAAAAGATTACAGCTTATAGCTGAGGCAAGTTCTATTCCATACCCATGAAATGGCTAGAACTGAAATCAACTGAATGACATCTAACACATAGAATTTAGAGGTCCATCTCTTATTCGGTTTTGAAAGGATTTCTCAATCTCAACACTGACATATTGGGCTAGATAACTGTTATGACATTAGATGTTTAGCAGCATCCCTGGTCTCTACTTACTAGAAGCCAGGAGCACCTCTACCCTAATTATGACAATAAACAATATCTCCAGAAATTGCCAAATGTCTTCTCTATAGGGCTAAACTGGTCCTGATTTGAGAACTACTGTGCTAAAACTACTAAAGTACAATCATCTCTCTGTATGGACCTCCTCCACTCACAGGGCAGGGAAATGGAATGCACAACAGTCTCCATCTAAAGGTTCTTAAGGCTACTGTGTGGCACTGAAGGATAAGCACTGTACTGCTAACCATAGGTTAGTGGTTCAAACCTACCAACTACTTCTTAGTAACCCTTTGTAGGGTTGCTATGAGTCAGAACCAACTCTACAGCACTTAATAACAAGGATATTTTAGTGCCCTGTTGTGGCACTATAAAATAACACTGGAATACTAACCACAATGTCGGCAGTTCAAACCAACTGTTGCTCCTCAGAAACCCTTTGCAGGGTTGCTAAGAGTCTGAATCTACTCAACAGCATTTAACAATAACAAACAACAAAGTACACTTTGAATGTTTATATACACACACCAGCATATGGGTTTCAAACAGTTTGTGGAAGAATTCCATTATCTTTCAATTCCATTTTTACAGCAACTTTTTAAAGCCCCTTCTGTTCACACCATTAACAAGTCCATAAATTACTAAGAAGCAAAAGGTTTTGCTTTGTTTTTAAATTATATTGTTTTGTTTTCAAATGGAGGAAACTGGTCCCTGCAAAACATCTGACATGTGACCTCTTAATTTAGACCAGGTATTCCAAAGGGAAAAAATTGTATATACGTATATATGAATGTATATATGTGTATATGAATCAATTCTTAACAATTCTACACCAGTTAGTTTAGGAAATCTCAGTATTCTGCTGGAACTCAAATTGATAGCTCTATCATTATACAACCTCCAGTTTGTCTCAAATAGGTGTCAAGCCCCACTGTCTTTAATCTGAAACTATTATTATATGAGATACATCTTTTTCTACATTCATACATTAGTTTTCTATGTCCCACTCTCAGTTAAATCTTTTCTTCAATGACTTAACGCTCAAGTCAAATAGAAAAGGCCATAATCTGAACTATATTTAGAAGATTTATGTTTTCTTGAAAACTGAGCTCATTTTTACACTGCCAAACTGTTTTAACTGCTTTTTTAAAATCATCCCCCTGGCAAAGAAAAAAAAACACAGCTTACTAATGAGCTCTGGTAGCGTAGTGGTTACGAATCGGGCTGCGAACCTGAAGGTCAGCGGTTCGAAACTACCAGCCGCTCAGCGGGAGAAAGATGAGGCTTTCTACTCCCGTAAAGATACACCCTCGGAAACCCTGTACAGGGTCGCTATGAGTCGGAACCGACTCGACATAAATGTTGGAAACAAAAAAAAACTGCACTGGAGTCACAAACCCTGGGATCCTATTCTGACTCAACCTTCTACTTAGTTGGATGACCATTTTTCCAAACTTCAGCATGCTGCTCATCTGTAAAAATGGAGGGTAATAACACCTAAGTCTAGACAGTGAAGATCAATTATGAAAAGCTACATGAAATCAATCACTTTGTAAACAAAGACCACACAAATTTAGGTATTCATAGGGATGATGTGCAGGAGCTCTGGTAGCGTAGTGGTTGAGTTGGACTGCTAACCTCAAGGTCAGCAGTTCAAAACTTCCAGCTGTTCTGCTGGAGAAAGATGAGGCTTTCTGCTCCCATAAAGATTTACAGCCTTGGAAATCCTGTACAAGGTCGCTATGAGTTGGAATAAACTCCATGGCACATAACAACAATAGGGAAGATGTGCAGCCAGGCTGCTCCTTGGAAGCCAGAGTGGCCAAACTTCCTCTCTCATACATTGGACATATTGTCAGGAGGGACCAGTCACTGGAGAAGGATATCATGTTGGGTAGGGTGGAGGGTCAGAAAAAAAGAGGAAGACCCCAGTGAGATGGACTGTCAAAGTGGCAACATCAATGAGCTCAAATGTGGCAACAATTGTGAGGTTGGCCCAGGACCGGGCAGTGTTTCGTTCTGTTGTGCATAGGGTCGCTATGAGTCGGTACCAATTCGATGACACCTAACAACAACAGGGAAGCATGCACATCAAATAAGGGACTCATGTATATCGCTAATAAACATGACTTTTCAAAACAAAGTACTCATTATGAAGACAGCTTGAAATAAGTCTAAACAAGGATTCAGGCCTCTGGGTTCTAAATTCAGTTTTCCCCAAAACTTTATATATCAACAAAGGAAAACCCACTTTCCTCTTCACCTCAAATTTCATTAAAAAAAAACAAAAAACCACACAACTCAAGTACTAACCAGAAAGCCTCTACGAGCTATTAGGGTCCTATCAGACTACAAAATGATCAAGTATCCAAAAAGGGCCAAGTTAGTATCCAAAAGCCTTGATTCACATGATAGCCACAATTCAGAGCACTATTTGGCCTGCCCGCAAACCAGGCAGAGGGCAGCCCACTATAAGAAAAATGTAGCTAAATAAAAATACAATTCTGGAGAAATAAAGGCAGCTATAAACTACTCCTCCGCCCCCATAATTAATAGGTCTCCCTCTAAATGACAGTAATGACGAACAAGAATGCATTAGCAGAAGGGCGGGGTTCTTTCCCACAAGCTTTTTGAGAACTTCCCGAAGAGTTATAACAGCCCCCTCCTTGCCCTCATCGGCAAGAAGCCTGAGATGAAAAAAATTAAGGTTTATATGTCATAGTATGGGGAAGGTTTTATTTATTTATTTATTTATTTGGTTTTTGTTTTTCACTTGGGTGGAGATGGCGGTAGTCATTGGACAAACATATCCTATAAACACAATTATCCACACCAAGTCTCCTGGAAATCTCAAAGATCTAAGTTTTTGGAGGAATCATTTTTGAAAAACGAGTTCGAACTATTAAATGAGATAACCTTGTGTTAATAGTGATTCATGTTTGCCAATTGCCCAAGTTTTCCCTTCCCCAAATTATCCGCCCTCCCGGGTCTCTGCAGAGGCGGCGCCTCGCCCTGTGCTCCCGCTCCGCGCCAGGTCCGGAGGGGCAGTCCCCAAAGGTTCCCAGAGGAGGGAAGGCCGGGCAACCCAGTACTCTTGGAGCCGCCACCCCTCGCTCCTCACCGATGACGATACGCAGGTGCTTGAGGCGAGTCAGCGCGTCCTTCTTGGTGTCCAGCACCTTCTGGGTGGACTTCTTGACGTCCCCGTGCGGCTTCTTGGAGAACATCGTGTCACTGTCGCCTCCACCGCCACCACCGGCTCCAGCCCCCTCACGGCCTGGTCCCGGAGGCAGATAGTGGAGGGAGTGGGCGGGGAGGAGACTAGCGTGAGTGGCTCATTCACTTCCCAAGACTGAGGGCTCCAGGAGAGGTGACTCCTCCCAGATCCAGGCCAGCGCCTCCACCTCCACCCGCCTCGCGCCGCGGCTCCAAGACACCTTCGTCTGCGGCTCCAATATGGCGGATCCCTTATCCGGGCCCTGCATAGGGCGAGGGAGACCCGGGCTGGCCGCCCGCGTCCGCCGCCGCCTCCTGCCAGCAGCGTCCGCCGCTCGCCGCCACAGGCCGGGGCCCCAGACCCAGAGCCGCGAAGGCGGAGCTCTCGGCTACAGCAACACAACTCCTCTCCCTGAGGCCCCCTTAAGGTTAAAGCTTCTTCAGCAGCTTGAAACTCTGCAGAGGCCGAATCCGAGACGACGAGTGTAGTGATGGGGTTTCACGACTCTGCCGTCGGTGGCGAACGGTCCCTGTGGCAACCGCCTTCTGACGTCAAAGGCTGTTGACGTCATGCCAGCGTGAGCTCATCCATGGCGCTACCCACTTTTGAGTTCCTGTGCAAGCGGCCAAAGGTGGAGCCCAAGGAAGTCGGGAAAGGCGGTTACTCCATGAGCCATTGCAAATAGTAACTCCTAGGCAAACTCCCAGAGTCAAGCTGTGTAATCTCCACTGTTTAAGAAGTTATCCTTATTTACGAACGTAGTAGCTTCAAAACATAAAAGCAAACGTGCAAGATATTTTAGATGGCCCTTAAGGAGCTCTGGTAGCCTAGTGGTTACGAATTGGTCTGTTAATCTCACGGAAACTACCAGCTGTTCCGCGGGAGAAAGATGAGGCGTTCTGCTCCTGTAAAGATTTACAGCCTCGGAAACTCTGTACACGGTCGCTATGAGTCAGAACCGACTCCATGGCACATAACAACAACATTCTTTAGGATTTAGCTGTAACACTCTTTCATTTCCTAATTTAACTCTTGTTTAAACTGTTTTGATTTACTAAGGAATGATTAAATGTTACTGTAGTTTAGAGATTTGTGTGGGTTATATAATTTTGCTTAATGGCCTGGACTGAAAAATTGGTTTGAACCGAAAGGTTGGCAGTTCAAGCTCACCAACTGCCCCTTGGAAACCCTATACAGGGTTGCTACAGGGTCGGAACCGACTCGATGGCACTTAACAACAACAGCAAAACCAGAAACACAAAACAGAAAGAAAAATTCCAGAGAAAAGACAGACATCTGGAGAACTTCAATGGTTAATTTTCTTAATACGAATATATTAAGAACTCACATAATGCGCCAGAAATTTGCTAAGATCCAGATAGAAAAATTAACAACGTGGGGGGGAAAAATCACATAAATTTGTATCAATAACTGAAATATGTGAGGAAATTAGTTGATTGTTATTATGTGCTGTCAAGTCGGTTTCAACTCAGCAACCTTTTAATGTTTTTTGAAAATCAAAGCAATTTTTATTTCTTCATTTTTAAACAGTTATATTATTTTGTAATTGATTACATACTTAGGACATGTTGTCAGGAGGGACCAGTCGCTGGAGAAACAGGACATCTGCTTGGTAAAATAGAGGGTCCGTGAAAAGAAGACTCTCAGTGACATGCATTGATTGACACAGTGGCTGCAACAATGAGCTCAAACCCAGCAACATTTGTGAGGATGGTGCAAGAGCTAGGAGTGTTGCATTCTGTTGTACAAAAGGTCCCTATGAGTCAAAACTGATCCTAGGATACCTAACATCAACAACAATGAATTGATGTGAAATAAAGCACATTTTTGAAATATACAATTTCATAAGTTGGACATATATCAGATACCTGTGAAAATATCACCACAAAATAGTAAACGTATTCATCACTCCCAGAGTTTCCTTATGTCACTTTGTAATCTTTCCCTGCCACCTTCTCATCTCTAGTCCCCAGACAACCATTGATTTTTCTGTCACTCTGAGTTTTGCATTTTCTAGAGTTATGTATAAATGGAAGCATACATTAGGCTCTTTTTTAACCTGGCCATTTTCCTGGTATGGCGTTGTAGGATAAGCACTTGACTACAAGATCGATTTGAACTGAAAGGTTAGAGGTTCAAACTCACCAGCTGCTCCTAAGAAACCCTATACAGGGTGGCTATGGGTCAGAAAAGACTCTCCTTACTAACAACAACTTTAATTGAATATAAATTATTTTTTAACAATCATTTCAAACACTGTTTTATCAGTCAAATTAGTAAGATTTGTTTGACCATTAGCATTTTTCTGAGTGACAGCAGACCCTCCCATTGCCTGTTAGGAGATTACTGAAAAACTATTTGGCATTATGTATATAAAAATGTTTCTATCTTTTCATCCAACGGTTCCTTTTTAGAGCTTTATCACAGAAAAACAAAAGTAGTGCAAATATTTATATAAAGATATTGAAACATGATTTATAATATTGCGTGAATGGAGACAGTATTGCTCATCAGTAAGTAAGTAGATGAACATCCAACAGGTAGAATGCGATGTAGCCATGAAAAGTGATTCATATGAAGACTTTTTAAAGATGTGGAAGATATAAGTGAAAAAGCACATATAAACTTGTAAATATGCATGTTATCAAAACAGTAAAAGATATTGTGTGCAAAAATAGGAAAGAAAAAAAGGAAAATATCCCCAATGTGTGATGATATCTGCTAAGTGTGATTGCAAGTGAGTTCTATTTTCATCTTCATATATTTTGTTATGTGTAGTAGTAGAACTCCTTGAAGAATAGTTCCCCGTTCTTTATTTATCTTTAGCCCTACTATAGCACAGAATAAGGAGCTCTGGTAGCGTAGTGGTTACGAATCGGGCTGCGAACCTTAAGGTTAGTGGTTCGAAACTACCAGCCACTCCGCAGGAGAAAGATCAGGCTTTCTACTCCCGTAAAGATTTACACCCTCGGAAACCCTGTACAGGGTCGCTATGGGTCGGAACCGACTCCACGGCACTTAACAACAACATAGCACAGAATAAGTGTTGATTTTTAAATTAAGGAGCTCTGGTAGCATAGTGGTTACGAATCAGGCTGCGAACTTCAGGGTCAGCAGTTCGAAACTACCAGCTATTCCACTGGAGAAAGATGAGGCTTTCTGCTCTCGTAAAGATTTATAGCCTCAGAAACCCTGTATAGGGTCGCTATGAGTCAGAACCGACTGCACGGCACGTAACAACAACAACAAAATATTTACATTACAAAATGGTTTCTTTTGATAGTAGAGAAGAGTCATCTAATCCCATAATGATATCTTTTTTTTTTTTTTTTTTTTTTTTTGGTGTTTTGGGGCTCCTGCGTCTCTGCCTGTAGCCACGTCTCTTACCAAAGATACTAATTGGACCTCACCTCTCAGGAGTCCCACAAACTACTCAAATTCAACATGTACATAACTAAATTTGTTATCTTTGTCCTTCCTCTTCCCACACCTGATTCTGCTCCTTCAGTAAACATCTTATTGGATAGCACCAGGAACCAGAATCATCTTAAGACTTCTACTGTCTTACCAAGTACTTATAATTCTACTTTCTAATTTATTGTTTGTTTGTTTAATTTGGTCTTCTCCATGGTATCATATTTTGTTCAAGCTCCGGGTTTCAATGTCTCTAGCCTGCTGTCTTCATTATCTAGTACTGCTGTTACAGAAATGCCTCAAATGAGTGGCTTTAACAAACAAATTTATTTCCTCACAGCTTAGGAGGCTAGGAGTTTGAATTCAGGGTACTGGCTATAGGAAATTGGCTTTGAGCTCTGTATTAAAATGCAGATGAAAGGATAATTAGCTGCATCAATTGTAGTGGATATTTGTTGCCTTGCTGACTGGCCATTGATTGTCTGGATGCTGGTGCACTAAGATGTTTCTTTGGAAAGTAGCTTCTCTCTAGGCTCATTTCACCTCATCTCCCACTGAACTGTTTCGACTTCTTCAAGGATGACAGCTGAATTTGTCAGAGTAAGTGTTCAGGCATAGGTAGTTGACCAGGTCAATTCAATGAAACTCTTAAACTATTGAAAAAGAGAAGTTCCTTTTCTGAGGAGCTAATTGAAGGAATTGGCAAAGAACAAGACACCAGGAATTGATGGAATAAAAGTTGAAATCTTTCAAAAAAGTGAGGAGGCACTCACTCATCTCTGCCAAGAAATTTGGAAGACAACTATCTGGTAAATTGATTGGAAGAGATTCATATTTGTGCCCATTCCAAAGAGAGGTGACACAATGGAATGTGGAAATCATCTGACAATCTCTTTGATATCCCATGTGAGTAAAGTTTTACTAAAGGTAATACAGAAATGGCTACAAGCATACATTGACAGAGAGCTTCCAGAGGTTCAAGCCAGATTCAGAAGAGCCGTGGAATGAGGGCTATCATTACTGATGTCTGATGGATCTTGGCTGAAAGTAAAGAATATCAGAAAGATGTTTACCTGTACTTCATTGACTACGCAAAGGCTTTCGATTGTGTGGATCATGACAAGCTATGGACAACATTGAAAAGTATAAGTACTCCAGAACACTTAATTGTGCTCATGAGGAATCTGTACCTAGACCAAGAGGCAGTTGTTTGAACAGAACATGGTAACACTGAATGGTTTAAAATTAAGAAAGATGTGCGACAAGGTTGTATTCTTTCATCATACTTATTCAACCTGTATGCTGAGCAAATAATTTGAGAAGCTGGGTTATATGAAGAAAAACATGGCATCAAGATTGGAGGAAGACTTATTAACAACCTGTGATATGCAGATGATACAGCTTTGCTTGCTAAAAGTGAAGAGGACTTAAACATTTACTGATGAAGATCAAAGAGCACAGCCTTTGGTATGGATTACATTTCAATGTAAAAAAACAAAAATCCTCACCACTGGATCAATAAACAGCGCTCTTATCAACAGAGAAAAGATTGAAGTTGTCAAGGACTTCATTTTTCTTGGATCAAGTCTCAGCACTCACGGAAGCAGCAGACAAGAAGTCAAAGGACATATTGTATTAGGCAAATCTGCTGCACAAGACCTTTTTTCA